TGATGATGATGATGATGATGATGATGATGATGATGATGATGATGATGTTCATGTTTGGAGGCAGTCTCGAGCGCACTCTTGGAGAGCATTCTCCTGTTTGCTGCTGGGGACGTGTTGTAGAAGACATGAAGTATGAGAAAACAAGCATATCCTTGAGTGAATTTGCAACATACTCATAAAGAGAGATCCTTACATGACAGCCAGCAGAGTCGCACAGGCAGTAGATGGTGCTTTTGTATCCATGATGTTCAGCTGGAATCTAGAATGTGTAGGTTGCATCACATTCCCAGGAGCTTGACTATTCCCAAAACGTAGAGAAAGACAGAATGATATTTTTGTGGTGGCGGACTTCAAGGCCAAGCAAGTGGAAGGTAGGAATGGTATAGCCCACTTTCTCACCCGTTGAATCAATGGGGTGTGTCACAGTGTGTTTGCGAAGTGGTTGATCCCAAGGCATCACACTTTGCTGTCCCAGTTCCGGTGCAACGAAGAGTGCGACCTGGAAGCGTTTCAGTCTACCGGTAAGCGATGATGTCAGGTCCACATCCATTACTGTATATATTTGTTTGAATCTAATTGTCTGTCAGACAACCGATCAGTTCAATCATCCTATCAATCAATACATGCCTGTGCGTGCTAGTGCCCTCGTGCGGCTGGTTAGATTATTGGCCAAAACGAGCTGCTTGCTTTTGTTTTCTAGGCCAGCAAATGGAGAGGGCGTTTGATGGTTCTCCCCTTTGGGGTCTCCCAGTGAGTTCTCTACTTTTCCGTCAGTTTGCCTGTAATGAGATTGTGTTTACATGCCTTTTATGGTGAGTTCTTGAGCTTCAAGAGTTCACCAGAGAGACCAACCTCGGATCTCTTCGCTGGTTCCCGCCAGGCTGGTCGCTGCCCGGCTGGGCACCCGAGGTGAACCATTGGTCTGCGGGGAGCCACCGCAGAAACTGCAGCGGGGGCGCCGCCCTGCAGGCGCCACGTGCGTCACGTGTGGCAGCTGGCATCAGTTTCCGGCATCAGATGGCATCAGAGTGATGTCCTGAGAACCTCTATGTTTTTCTTCACAACTTATGGGGTACGAGCTAACAATCTTAGGGTGGGGTCGATGTGCCTGTGGATGAATACAAGAATTGCCTCCTTCGTGGTGACAAAAATTCATTATTAGTGATGCACCTTGAATCTTGAGTTGAAGAAGACCCGAAGAAAGACACCATGTATATAGCTGGCCGGATGGCCAGTGATATATACCGCTACTCTTAGGACCCGGATCCTGAAGAATGGGTTCAAGTCGCAGGTACTCTGGATGAATGTAGGATGTTTCTCTGATCACTCTGCATCAGTCGGATGTGGATTTCTGTGGGTTGATTGGAGAATGATAGAATGTTGGTGGGACGTTTATCAGCTAGATCTGACCTTTTGTTGTGAATCTTCCCTGAAATCCAGTTGCAGGATCAGAGCTGGTGGCAATGCTTGGTACCAGCAAAAAGCCGGAATGCTGCTGAGGAAATCATTGCGGCACGTGGGCGTGTATTTCAAACTGAGGGAAACCCGAAATCTCTGGCCACAAGGGCAAGTGTTGATTAGCATAAAGCCAATTGGGTTAATCATGGTTATATAATCGAATCCCCATGTTTAGACTGCTGGCTATGTGTGGCATACATTATGCAATAAACTACTTTTGTGCATAAATACTATTGGTGTTAAACCTACATCAACCTCTAGACAAGGTCCAAACATAGTAGGGCGGGCTCAGTGATTGACTGATGGAAAGCTGAAACCACAATCAAAATCAGACTTTGAGACTTGGATGATTCTGTGTGTTGGCTTGCTTCTCCACAGGTATGCCATAATGTGAGGTTTTGTGATACCAACTCCAGACAAGAAGGGAATTGAACTGTACCCGTCTCAAAGCGCCCACTGGTATCACAAATGGCGTGTTGCACACCAGATGCACGCCCATGGTCGGCGGGAAAAACCACTCGCACGAAACTCTGAACAGCCAGACATTACCACCCTGGCCCACTTCGCCGTTGCCGACATGGATCAAGTGCACGTTTGTCACACGGTAGCACCGTTGTCACACGATTGGCAAATTGCTAGCTGTGAAGGCCATTTGATGTTTGTTTGGCACAGTGTGGCTGGTGTTCTCAGGGCGGACAAACAGCCATTGGAAATTATTGGAATATACCTCACAGGGCATTGATGAGCCAGGCAGAACTGATTGCACCCTGTCTGGGCATACGCAGAGCGTTTGACTCAATCTGCCTTTGGGTGTACGTGCGATGTCTACTTGCAGCTCACTCGTTAATTAACATGTTTTCAGGACATTGAATTTCAGACTGTAGCACTCTAGTGGTCCTTGACCACAGATCCAATGGCGCACAGATATGTCCAAAAGGCCAGAGACCCTTATCTCTTCATGCACAAAACCAACAAAGCTCCGGTATTTTGACCAAGCTCTGACGATCCTAATTTCAAGATGTTTTCGAGTTGAGATGACCAACAGGTCTAGACTTATTACTTTCTTTTATTTTTATGGTGTTTTTTAAATGTGTTTTTGACTGATTCTCCAGGGATCGTGCACTGCCAGGCGACGCGTGCACAATGAGGAGGGAGGCAGAGGCCGTACCCGGCTGAGTGGCAGATTCTGACGAAACAACATGGCTCTGAAGTCTCCATTGTGGATGAACACCTGAACCCCCAAACCATGATCTATAAGGCTTCTGTCCATAGAGATAATCCTGCTAATGACGTTAGCGTCTTCGACCTTCTGTCTTGTTTTATTTGATCTCGCATCTTTTTGTTGCAATACACTGTTCTGTTTCTTGCTCACCCATCACGTTTGCGCGTACAAACTACATTGTGTTACCCGGTAGATACAAGGCTAGGGGCATGTAACGTGTGGCAATGCAGACTGTTTGCGAGCGAGGAACCCAAAGTGTGGGTAACATCCCAAAGTAGAGTGCTTTGTCTTGTTTTGGGCTTTGACGCAGGGTATACTTCAGGAGCAGTATGGCTTATGATGGTTTATGCCCTTTCTAATTTTTTGCTCCGCCGAACTATTGGCGATCTGATCCACAAGTCTGACTTTGTGGCAGACACAACACTGTCAGATTCACCAGTGTAAGTCTACAATACGGGGCCTACTCAAAAGGGATTAAAAGGGGAACGGGTTTCTCATGCCACTACAAGTCAAGAGACGCGACTTAGTTACTTTGGGACCTCCCAAACGAGAGATGTTCATTATCCTATCACATCGGCTCATTGATGTCCCCAAAGGCTTGCCTTTTTTCCCTAAGATTCAAGGCTCCTGTTCAGGTTCTGAGACGGCCCCCATATTCTGCGACCATCAAGTTTGGACATCATTGGTTTATTGCATTTTCAGACTTTTTCAAATCTTGCACAGTGCAACCTACGCTGGTATGTGAGGTAGAGGTTCAGCTAGGTCGATGGCCCAATCTGCTTGTTCGGAAACTGACACTGCCTTTGGCCACCCTGGCAGAATGCAAAGGGAACATGTCAGACACACGCCAACGGCGCAGGTCGGACCGACGGTCGAACTTGGGCCATTGGCCTTTGCCTCACCGTGGCGGTGCTCTTCGCCTTGGCTTCTCTACAAGTCTTGGACGTGCCACAGATCGGCCTCACTGAGCCACCCGGCCGGGCCCATGTGCTGGGAAGGCACATGCGCTTGTGGATGTGAAGAGATCAGGTGAGACATGTACGCTGCATTCAAAAAGATTCAAAACTGGCGAAATGAATCGGTGTGTGCTTTTTAGTTGATTGTTGTGGAATCTACTGTTTCAAAACTTGCACGGGACCACATGTTCGAGCTCTTTTTGGCGCAAGGTTAATTTAGACTGCAGTAATTGTTCTAACATTGTTCTTTGGGACATCACGGGGTTACGAGAACATGTGCGGAGACTTGTGTTGTCAAGAATTTGAGTGTGCAATGTACTTCCAAGAATCCGGATGTTCACTTGACAGCAAGAGCAAGAGGAGGTAGAAGGAGATACCACATTCAATCTTAGTCACCTCAAGTTGTCTCTTTGTGGTTAAGGCAACAATCTTTTCCTATCTTCAGTTGCCCTTCTCTCGTACACGTCATTCGTGTCATTTTACCAGCTCGGTTTCCTCCTCTTTGGATGTTTTCCGAGCCAGTTGCATTGACTTCTGGCGAATGGGTAATATTATTGCTTGTAGTCCATCTGTGTATACCGGTAGCATCCACATTACTGTAATCATTCCATTTTGTTGATGCAACTGCTGTGGGCTTTCTCTATTAAATACAACATTTGCACGCAGATGTTTCCGTTTGCCAAGCCAAGGCCGCACAAGACTATCCAAAAGGCCAATGTGGCTGAGGCTCTTCTGAGACTGGAAAAGAATCAGAAATCTGCCAGACTGGAACGGACAGCCCTGGAAGGAGGCAGGGTGGGTTGTCTCAGAAAGATGGAGCTCTTCAAATCAAGCTTGTCATATGCATGCGCACAGGCACAGATGCACTTGTTTCATGACACGATACCCTACCCAACGGATCTGAATGACTGCAATCAGAGTTCATCTAGCAATATCTGGTAGTTGGGTAAGACGTGTGGAGTATATATACTTCAACCTCCCTCTGAGTGGTGCCTTTTGGAGGAACATCTCTTTGGGTCCCGAAGATACTTCTGAACCATTCCCATTCAGAAAGCACTCAAGTCCAACCACAAGGCTCCATTGCTCCAGGAAAGTCTCATCCCTCAGTCGCTTGCACTCTCAGGAGCTCCAAGCAGCACTCTGAGGGCGGAACCGACGGGCCATCTGGACGGATCCGTGGCCGGAGCTCCAAGCACGACGCCTCCGGGGCAAAGCAACGCCTCCGAGCCGGAGATGATTTGGAGCCTCGTTGATGGGCCGAAACTTCTTTCGGTGTCGAGCCTTTCGTTATTTTGTGGGCAAACTAAAGTACTTGTGGAGCACATGTTATTTATATCGTTTTATATCTAGAGGTTTCTAAATCAAGTTTGTGCTCGTTCCCAGGATCTTCATGGATCTTCTTTTCTGTGCAGTAACCTGATTCCAACGACTCTTGCATAGCCGCATAGCCAATTCCTTTTGATGACTGACACCCTGCTGATGGTAAAGCTAGGGCTAGGTTTGGGCTAGAGAATCCCTTGGATGCGGGCACTGCAACCAGCCAACAAGGTACGACCTTCCGCGGCGGTCACCGCTCAACGCGCAGATCGATCTGGTCATCGCAGCCTTCCGGGAGGATCTTAGTGGCTTGGTGTCATTGAGGGGCGCTGTTCCACCAACATGGGCAGCCACTAGTTGGTCATCAGTTGTCTCTTGACAGTCCATTTGTGGCGGGAACCGGCCCCTCCAAGTGTTGGTGCTGGGTGAAATTCTGCGACATCGTTGCTTCCGCTCTCCAACCGCTCTACTGCGGCAGGCTGCTGGAGCTCAGTGTCCGTTACAACCCTTCTGGAGCAGATCCACTGAACCGTCGATCAAGCCTTTGCTCCAACCCTGGCAGTGGCCGGCCTTCTAGAAGCCGCAGGAAACAAGTATAGGGGGTCGACTGGGCAATGCGTTTTTGCAGCTGTATGGTGCAAACTGATGCAACATGATGAGTTCCATTTGATGTGGTCTCCAAGTCTGGAACGTGACCATGCGACAAATAATTCGACAGATACAGGTGGACTCGAATCCCAAAAGAAACTATTTACACCGATCGGGTTTCTACTACCGAATCGATTGGATCTTACCACCAAGATGTGCCTGGCACGGTTCCCTTCATTACTTCGATCAAACCATATCACCCCCCCAAACGGTCACTCTTGGTTACTTTGGATTGTTTGGAAGGTTCCTTTCTCCGCACTCTGAGGTTGGATCAACGTGATGATGGAGCCGATGGCCTCGGACTTCGCGCTGCGTTTGTACTGCAAAGGTGCGGTGGTTTGTTGGGCGGTCCTTGGTGCCAACATGGAGACCCACCAACGTTCCAATGGTTTCTTGAGGTTCAAGAACGGTGTCCCCTAGCTGTTTGGTTTCTGTGCTACACATGCAGACTGGTTGGGTGTTGGAGGTTTCTCCATGGAAGCTGATCTTGGCAAGATGCTTGGTGCAACATGATTAATTACGTGTGGAACAAAGCTCAAGGTAGGTAGTGTTTTGAGGCGGCCCATACGAAGAAGATCAGTTTGTTTTATCATATTGCTTTTCTATCTTGAGTTCAACTCCCGTGAGTGAGTGGACCACTCTGCTGGGTAAACGCTGTATATGCTCAATATATCTCAATATACTCATTAGCACGGAACCTAAAGAGTTGCGGTAGACCCATGTCACCCAACTCTGAGTGCTTTGCGACTGTGAGGGCCTATGACCTTCAGGGCACATTTTTTGGACTCCCCATGCCTCTATGAAATGGCCTTCTCATTCTGCCGCTGAGTCATTGAGCTAGTACATGAAGCCTTTGTGCCCCATCTGCCGAGTCATTTGTTGGCACCATTGGCTGCCAGGTGATCGTTTGAAGGATCCTCGCTGCCTTCGAATAGATAACTTCGGCGGGGAGGAATATGCGCCAGCTTGGCTGCAGTTGTGTGCAGATTCATCATAGCCCCGCAAGAATGAGACGAAACATGACTGTGCGGACTGCATCGTACATGTTTCGGACTCGAGGGAGCAACCTGTGCACGAACCGATGGGAGATGGAAGGGCATGAACCGTGATATGCGAGAAGCCGGCACTAGCTGGATGAGCTCGGATGACCTAATATCAAAGTCCTCCAGCGGCACAGTCATTGATGTTGAGTGTAAGTGTAAATATACATATACATATATTACTGTATATATCTTGTTAAGCACTGCGTGTGTGGGATAAATAATATGATCCTTACAACCTTGAATTACCAGGTACTTGACGCATATCACCCACTTCTATGACGACCTGGCGCCCATCACCATCTTCACGTTGGGCTCCATTTACGACCGGGGCTGGGACTGGCTGAAGTGCCGCAAGCTCAACTTCGTCTCGCGGCAGCATCTGGGGTATCAGCATTGGACATGGTCAGAATTTCTTGGTGTTTGGCGGATGTACAACTTCTTTGGGGTGCACCATAAGGCCATGCACATCACCCTTCGCAGTTTTAATTGGTGCAGTATCTAAAACCCGCAAAGTGCAGTTCTTTCAATTCTCTGGTTTTGGCAAGGAACGGAAGAACTTCATCGTCCTAGGTCCCAGACAATTTTTTCATAATATTATTATTATATATATATATACTATATTCATATAGTATCTCTGTAGTCTCTAAGTAGCTACAGTTTTGGGGGAGACGCCTGCATGACATTGGTAAGCCGCTAAGCCCAGACCAGATCCCAAGACTGGAGACCAGGCGGAGAGGGAAGGATTTGTATTCAATAGCATAGCCCACTCAAACTCGTACGTTTGTGCAAAGGCACGTGTGGTGAGTGGGTGTTTGGGAGGGTGGGAACGTCACGAAGTCGTATATAGCCGCGTGGGTGTTGGCCAAAGTATTTTCTTTAAACAGAACAGAATTCCCACTCGTGTGCACCTCAGCCGTGTGGCCACGAAGCATATCAATGGACCAGACGCTCCATTTTCAGGTCCTCAGTCAACTGGACACCCCGGAGCGGCGGCAAAACTTCCCGGGATTTGCCACCATGGCGCAGCTGGGCAAGCGTCATTGAGGTCAAATCGATGGGTGGACCGGATCTTAATATCATTTTGGCGGGGCCCAATCGTTTTTGTTTCTTTATCTTCCACTGTAGTCGCGGTCACAAATTTATGTATCCACTTTCTGCGAGGCATACGAAGCCAGACTCCTTCCACGAGTTCGAAGGTTTCTTCACCTTGAGCTGCTGGCCGCAAGTTAGCGGTTCACTTGTACGTGCACAGCCAATCCAAGGCAATCCATGAGTAAGTATCATATACTATCATTATTACATGAAAGAAGCTACTAGGAACAAAGGGCATCGCTTCTAGGAGCATTCTTGCTATTAGTCCTACACCAGATGTCTGCAGGTGGTAGAAAGGATCAGCCCAAAGGCCAGACATCCACCCTTCGATAAACTCTGCACCGGTCGGTGGCTCGTTTGCGCTAAGCCAAATACCAAAATCACGCGGGTGGCACAAAGACCGCCTCCTGTCGGGCCAGCATTACGCCTCTGCAGATGCTCGGTTTGGAGAAGCTGTGTATATTATGTACCACTTCTTTTTCTTGTTGTCATTTCTTTTTTGTAACAATTTCACCTCTCTCTCTTTCTTTTTCATTCCATGGGTTTGATTTTTTTGCAGTTTCATGAGTTTGCAGACGGGCATGCGGCGGGTGGATGAAGCTTGTCCCACCCAGTCTCCTAGAACATCAAAATCGGTCACCCAAAATGATCCGTGACACAGGAAAAGCAACTTTCTCACCATTTGCAGCAGTTTGTTTGTTCACTGAGGAAGTGGTTTGAAGCGTTCATCAATGTGTCACTTGCAAAAGCCAGGCACATGTAGCAGCACTATTGCTGGAAAAATTGTGCACAATGCAACCTGTGAGAAGGTCTGAGCCAGGGCTTTCAGTCGAAACCTTACATGCTGAGCGACATTCCAGCGTTTTCAGCAGTTCCCTAAGCAGAGGATGGGATTGTGCCAGCAGTATAGGAGAGGCCAAACTGTTTCTCTGAAACCTCCAAAGCCACAGAAGTTGAGAAAGAAGCTTCCTTGATAGGTCACATCATGGCGTCCCCTGACGCCGAAATCCTCAGTCAGGCACACGGGGGTCTTGTACAATCCCATCTTTGCCGTCTCCCGCGAGAGAATACGTCAGTTCCCCAGGTGCGGGTGCTCGAGTGATGTGAGACTGGACCAGAAGGGCTGACAAAGTGTTTGGCCTTTTGCCACCCATCAGATATCAGGGAGACCAGGTTGATCCATTCCCTTTCTTAAGGACTGCATTTCACGAGTTGACTCGTTGATGTTCAACAAGCCGATAGATCAGAGCCAGGCTCTTCCATCCCAAAGAACTGATCTGTCTCAGAATGAGGAGCTTTCCAACCCCCACTTGTAGGGTCTTCATCATCTATGGCTATTGCCAGGGGACTGGGCTTTCTCATCCTGAGACGCACCCGAATGTTTGTTTGTGTGTGTGTGTGTCCCACCCTGGACAAAGGGTCTTTCACCACCACTCTTTCCACTTTACACAGGCAGGGGCGTGTGGCCTTCTTGTCCTACCACACGCAATGAAGCTGTGGACAAGAAGGGGAAGCAGGGACTGATCATCCCTGTGTACCTGCTCGTTTCTCCACAAGCTGTCACTCCAATTTTCCATTTTTTGATTCATGGTCGTTTGCATGATACTTCCCACAAACCTATTCGTCCCCAGCAGCTGCGCCGCCGGTTTGCTTGCTGCCGCCTTTGTGACAACAATGTTAAACCTTTCAAGTGCTCGGACCCATGCACCTTTCTGTTCTCTCACCTTCCTTCCCAACGTGACTTGCGTTAACTGAAAACCAGTGTCAGAGTGTGTTTCGCTCAGCCGTCCCACTCGGGTGCTGAGTGTGATCCCCGTCACTGGGGCGCCGATTTTGCATGGGAAAGCAACCACCCCAACGCACCACCGCTCACTGGACTCTCACAGGAAGGCACCGACACCCTCACAGAATCAACCGCCACACCGGCCGCCGGGCCAAAAAACGGTTCTTGAAGAATGCTTCAGATTCCAACTTCCAGATCTCAGATTTCAGCATTCAGTTTTCTTTTCATGTCTTCCAATCATGTGCGTGTTTCTATGTTTGCTATGTTGCTGCCGCGATTCTTTCCTCGACAGAACTCAAGGATGGGCATTACAGCTCTTCAGCTTAATTCGAGATGCATGAACACACACCTACCAACAAGCTCACATCTAGCACCACCTTACAACATACTCACCATTGACACCAGAGAGGACACCTTCAACAACAACAAGACAATACAACTCGGCACTTCCCCGCTGCTTTTTGCTACCGCGCCGCGCCGCGCCATAGCTACGACCACGACATGCATTTTCCGTGGCCCTACGCTCACACCACGCCACCACCATTACCTACCACACAACCTCAACCCACATGGCCGATGCCACAACCATCAACTGCACCCACTTTCCCCCGACACAACCATCGGCATACCCTCACCCACAACCACAACCATTTCAACCACCACCGTTTTTGTCCAACCCTACCGCCACTGCACTGACCTACGGCACACCATCCACTTGGACTTTTGTCCAACCATGTCACGTGCCACCGCAGCCCACACATCCAACTCCAGTATTTCCGACAGCAGCACCTCCCCCTTCCTACCTGTTGCCACCACATCATCCCACACCACCGGCTGAACTCCCTCCCCCCACTACACTGACACATCCCCCTCCAACACAGCAACAGACTGCGATTGCCAATCATCCATCCACAGACCCCCAATGCGCCATCCTGCAGGGCGTTTGGCAACCCTATTCAGCCTTTCCCCCCGTCACACAGCCTCCACTCCAACCGTTGCCCCCGCCACCGTCCACAAACCATCAACGCCTCAACACCAGCCCAACCTCCACTTCAACAGCAGCCACCATCGGATCCAACACCACCAATCCAATCCATCCCCACGACTGCCCAGGACAATCCATTACCAGTCCAAAACACGCCCCCACCAGCTACCGTATCCCAACATTCAGCATCACCATCGCTGGTATCTGCCACACCAGCGCCTGGATCTTCACTACCAGCACCAGACAAACCTGACACCACTGCCTCACCAGCACCGCAACCACCTTCCCCGCAACCACCACACAGCAGTCGCCGCCACCACCACAAGAGCCGACGCAAGTCCGACCATCACCACAGAGGACGCCACCGCCACCGCCACCGACATCACCATCACCGCCACTCCAAACATCACAGCACAACCCGGCGACGGCGGTCGCCTTCAACATCCACTTACACATCCAGCCTTACGCCATCCTGCAGTCGCTCGCCACCACAACCCATTGATCTACGCCCTAACACCGAACACTCCAACCCAGACCCCTCTCAATTTCCCACCACAGCCGTCCTCCGTCGCCCAATCAACCGTTGGCGACCTCCACCCAACTTTCACACCTTTACACCTGCAGACCAAATCCTGGAATGGCTCGAATTCCACGCCACCCAACTCGACAATCCCAACCGACCACAACACCAGTACATTGCCAATATCCTCACAGACTGCAACATCACCTACAAGGAGATCACCGATTTCCGACAATATACCCACGCCAAGTGGAACGACGCAACTCACCAATACGACCAATTCCAGTACTACGCGATTTCACTTCCCTTCCTCAACACCAAAGCCACTACACCAGAGCCACCTGCGGTTTCCCGCGCCACATCAACCCACCGGGAAGTCGCCCACATCAACGCAGGCCACACAGGCCCCGTCGGCAACATTTCCAACATTCTACGCCAAGGCCGATTTTTACCCAGCACACTCCACTTTGCCAACTACCCTGGATTTTTTGCCCAGGGCGTTCGCATCACCCACAACCAACCCCATGACCACAACGAACTTGCCCGCATCATCCACAACACCTGGCAACTCCACAAGAATTCCCATTCCCTTATCATCACACTCCTTGCTTGGGGTGCTGCCACAAAATATACCTCTGGAGGTGAGGAACACGCCATGAACCTCCTTAACGACCACCATGGTGCAGTCTTTCATCAGAAGGGCCGCTGCTGGGTGATCCACCCGGACCACGCCATTGTCAAAGGACTGGCCTGGTCCACCAACTCCACTCCACCGGACCCATAACACCACTACCACACATCTACACACCACTACCACCTCCACATCCACTTTTGGTCTCACACCACCACCCAACCTTTGCTGTAGCAGCAAAAAAAGAGCCTCCTGCAGCGGCCACGCGAATTTTGAACCCTCAATTTTTCAAGCTCTGCAGTGTTTGCTGTAAACATCTTTCTTCGAATTGTACCGGCTGTTTTGATGGAGTCTTTCACATGTCAGATTCTCATGTACTTGATTGTCCAACCGGCATTGCATATTCGCTCTTTTGCCTGTGGGAATTTGATGCTCGTTTAATTCATATGCACGGCCTCGTGATGCCGCGCTCCCTCAGACTCGCCGCTGTCCGGCTGCTTTGGCGCGCTGCCGCAGCAACCTGTGACGATTCTTAGCTACTGTACACCCCTATATCTCAGAATCATGAGCAGCACACCGACACCTCTACAAAACGACACCTCAACTCTCATACACAGAACCGCAGTGGCACTTTCGCAGGTGCAAAACCTGCTCCGACAAGCAACAGATATTGTAGCACACCTCCACACTGTTTTCCTCCACCACTGCCACCAAGCGGACCCCACTTTCCGCCAACACTTTCAGCCACTTCCAACTCCGCCCAACCACCCTATACGTTTACCATCTACCACCTCATCCTGTGACTCAGCACCATCCAGACCACCCAACCGTTTACCAGCACCACCCTCAAAAGACTCAGACGACACTCCAACAACACCCCCAGATCCACAACCCACCACAACACGCAAGCGGAAGCAACCACCCCCACCACCACTGAACCGACAGGCGGACTGGGATGCTTGGGACGGCGACGCTGACTGTCGCCTGGTCGAACTCAAAGAAAACCCCAAACTTCGTCCCAACTGGACCACTGTGGCTCGCCGAGTGGGCTTCTCCGTTGAGCAATGCCAAGCCCGATGGCAAGAACTCAAAGACATGCAACGTCAGCAGGACCAGCAACTCTTCTCCACACCACTACCAACCGCACCACCAAGACAAGCACCTTCCCCCTCACCAACACCCACATCACCAGCAGTTTCCCCAGCACCACATTCACAACCGGATTTCTCCCCTTCCCCCATAACAACGCCACCGACTTCACAACATCCAACGACTCCTGCTGCTGTGCTGCTGCCGCCGGCTGCTGAGCGGGACCTTAGTGAAGACAGTCATCCGGAGAAATCTCCACTTACGCCCGTGGTCAATTATTTCATTTGACCCGTTTCACCCACCTTTCTTTACGGCGTGCCGCAGGACAAATCCACTGACCCGTACTGACATTTGGTTTTTTCACATCCAACCTACTTTCACCAGGTTGCCCAACTTCGATCTGTCAGTTTTCAGGCTCACTTCAGCTCCGCAGCCTTTTGTACATCAATTGTCATGGCCAATCCTCGCGCTCGCCCTCATAGCAACCCGGCTGATACAGAACACTACCTCCCACAGCGCCCTCCGAGCTGGCTCCAACCTTCGATTAGCACTCAGCCCGATTTTCAATCCCTCAACGGCTCTTTGGACCTCCTCTTTCTGGTCAACCAACACCTCCGCCGTCACCCATTCCACACTGAACCTATGCCAAGCCAGACTTATTTTCAAGACCAGAGAGCATACAACCTCCTTTACCGACTGCGCGGTGACCTGATCTTGCTCGACCGCTTGATCGATAACCTCTCCCAGGCTCGTCGGCTCCTTCAATTTGTTACCACCGGCCCCGGGCTCCCAGGACAATACCGCATCAACCCCACAGCCACACTCTCCAGCAGAAACCTGGCCATTATCCACAACATACCGCCAGGTTTTCCACTACCACCCGGACTTTCCAGCCGTTCACCCTCCCCTTCACCACGTACCCCACCACAAGACGCAGAACGCCTATACTCATACTGGACAGGCCCTCCACCACAAGCCACCCCGGCAACCCACATCAACACTACCACTCACACTAGGGAACGTTCACGGTCCCGCGACAGCCTCTCACACCGCATTGGCTAACTACAGCAACATCC